AGCGAAACAATGGAAATGAATAATTCCCAAAGGGCTATTAAAACCCAGCCAAAGGAGGCACTACCAAATGCGGCATGCCTGCCGATCGTTGCGGAGGGGAAGATTGCCCAGTTTCAGGGGAAAATCAAAATGTATGCAATACATTATGAAGCAACTATGGATCGCTTCTGCGAAAGCCACTACAGATACAAAGATACATTTTTTAAAAATGTTAAATTGAAGTTTAAAGTGTGGTAGCAGGGGGCAGCATGGGTATGGTGCGGGGGGCAGGGGCAGTACAGGCCAGTAACCATAAAAAGGTATTTAGCAATTTAGATTCATTCGACGTGCACGCCGTGCCTGGAACTCAAGACATCCCCCGTTCACCGTTCCCCATCCCCCATCCCCCGTCCTCCTCCTCCTCCTACTTCAGTCTTGTTGTTTCTTGGGTATCGCACGCTTCGATCAAGCCGCTGATTGCAGCTGTAGGGGATTGAGAGTGGAGAGTGGAGTGGAATGGAGTGGAATGGGAGAGTGGAGTGGAGTGGAAGCAAGGACTGGCTGTGCCTTGCCCAAAATGGTCCATGGCATAAATTCCGAATGGGAAACGCATCAATCAACGGTGCAAAGGCTCTCTTATGTATGTGCTAAGAGAGTGGAGTGAGAGGAAGGGAGAGAGAGGACATGCTGTTCGTGATGATATTGCTGGAAAGATTAGACGAGGACTCTCGTCTCTCTGCAGCACAAATTAAATAAGAAGAGATAACAACTAGGCAGAAGGCTGGACTCGGTGCCGTCGACCTGGAAATACCCATTACTGCCACTTTATAGAAACTCTCTCTTATCTATCGAGTGTTTTCGAAGAATCTACAAGAGGACCTCTCCTTTGCATACATTAGCAGAAATACAATACACTCGTGTACGCTCCGCGAATGCAGGGTATAAACTAGGCAAGGCAAGACCTGGGACCACTAGGCACGAGAGAATACGTGGAACAACAAACAGAAGAACGGTTAGAGCAAGGGGCGACGAGAGGCGACGAGAGGCGAGGCGAGACCAAGAACAAATAGGAAAGAGGGCCTGGAGTCATGGCCAAGCGGATTAGCGTACCTGTGGGAAGGGACAGGGAACAAGGGCAGGGGACCGACCGGGTAAAAATTTACGATTTTAGCACAGATTGTAAAGTAAATTTTCCTGTTTTTATTTCGAATTAACAAGGCGGCCCCCAGACAAGAGAGACGCGCACACACAAAACACAGAAGAGCAGAGATACAAGAGAAAGAGAGAGAGAGAGAGACACACGAAAAAAAACGAAAGTTGCATGTGCAATGCGAGAGAGATGGAAGAGCAAGCAGCAGAAATCTTCTGAAGAAGAAGAAGCAGAGCACAAGAATAACCGGTTCTCTTCGATGTCTCACACACATACACCTAGATACACATAGGCCAGGACAGAACAGAGGCACAGCGCAGCGCAGCGGTTACTTAATAATGCAAAACAGGTTTCAAGGAAAGGAAGCAGCATGCAAGGAGGAGGAGATGGCGAAGGGGATTGCACAAAGAGGGACTTTGACTTTGCCAAAGAGAAAGGCAGGCAGGGCAGGCGACGTTGAGTTATGAATTTGATATGCTGCAACGGAAAGGAAGAATCTGATGGACATGAAAGAAAGAACTGCGGAAAGGAGCTGGGAAGGAGTGCAACAAAAACACAGATGACAGAGATTAGGACGAATAGTAGACCAGGGGAACAGGAAATGTGTGCTGAATCCATTTTATGAGTCGCAGCAGGAGGGGGAGGCGAATATGCATAGTTACTGTAGGAAATTATGCAAAACTATTTAACCAAGCCCTATACTCAAATTTGAGACGATCTGGCGAAACGTACTTGAAGAAAATGGTTCCCAGAGTACAAAAGGTACTAAAGAGGTACACTCCGCTCTAAGCACTATTCATCACTCTCTCTCTCGCTCTATAATTCTTCCACTCCATCTATACTTTTTTAATTCGAGCAGTTTTTGGTAATTCCCCAATTGCGCTGTTGGAGGAGGGAGGACAGGACGCAGCACTGTAATCAACAAACGGTAATACGGCCGACTCGTCATTAAGCACGCGAGAGGCAGGCAGCAAAAGCAAAAGCAACAACAACAACAGAAGCATATGCTCAAAAGCAGCAAAAGCAAACACAGTGTGATGTGGAGCGGTGGGTGGGGTGGCGTGGTGAGGGGGGATAAGCTTCGCAGCCAGACAGTCGTCACACACACATGCACTAACACATGCACGCATACAGACACACCTCCAAACAGCTGATTTGTTATCATCATCAAACCGCTGAATGAAGCCTCAAAACGTGAGAGACAGAGAGAGAGAGAGAGCGGGCATGTCAGCGCCAGAGAGAGCCCCCCAGACTGACTGCTCCCCAAAGCGCTCTCACGAAACAACAAAAAAGTCGGAAAAAAGCGACGACGCCAACGGCGGCTGCTGCTATGGCAACGACCTTCCTTATTTATTACAATGTGTCTCTGTGTGTGTGTGTGTGTGCATGGGACGGGGGAAGGGGGGAGGTAGTAGCATTCCCATAAGAGTTAAATTGTGCTTAGTTTTTAGTGCAGAAAATGTCTGCAGTATTTTGAGCGTTTAATGTTCTCTCTTGATACCCATTGGAGGGGGTATGACGAATTTGATCTGCAAATTCCCTGCAATACAATCAGGAGGAATGGCCTAGACTGTGACCCAAGTGGACCCTTGCTTATGCGATTAAAATGATTTAATTATTTCGTACTTGTAACTGATTTGGCAGGCAGGCTAAGAACTGTGCCAATCTGAACCGAGATCAACAACGATCGAAGCGCGAATTCCTCCCTTGGGGCGGATGCGATCTATGTAAGGGATCAACATTTGTATTGTGTATAGCTACTCTTTGTGCTACCATGGGCCGAAGGATATCAGAAATTTCGACCCCTGGTTTAGCCAAGCTCATCTCACATTTGAGTCGATTTTCCTCGTTTCCATGAGAATTTTATTTAAAGGACTTTCTGTTGGGGATTTTATATTTGAGTGCCGCACCCAAAAGGGAATTCTAACGGTAGTGGCGTACCATAACCACTCAATTAGCTCTCAAAAGCGCTCTCAAATTCGGGAATTTTAGCAGGAAGAAGATTGCCGCGCTCCGGCCCCCCCACAACCCTTTCTGCGGAGCACACAGCAGCCCTAAACGAAAACAGCAGAGCAAAAAGTAATCGTAACGAGGGAGAACGTTGTGAGTTGGTGCTGCGGCCGCAACTCTACATTTATACCCGATACTTAATCAGTATAGCTCTCCTCCGGCAGACGGCGTGAACATTGCACGACAAAGAGTGCGTGGTGGACAGATAGACCGGGCTCTATCGACTCCATAAACTTTACGGGGTCGGAAACGCTTCCTTCTGGATGTTATACACATCCACTTCCACCACATATCTAATATACCCATATACTCTTTGAGTATCTTGTATAAAATTAAAGCAGGCAGCCACGATTGCTCTCACCCAGAAGGGAGCATAAGACACAAAAAAAAAACTCATATTACAAAATAATACCCGCATAAAAAAAGACAGCGGCAGACCGACTCTCTCTCTCTCTCGCTTGTTCAAACACCAAAACAGTTGTAAAGATGGCCGCCGTGGTAGTAATATACGGCTGAATGTGTAAGTCGAAGCGAGAGAGAGCGATACAGAGTGTTTAGGCCGGAGAGCGGCCATATGCTGCCATTGAATGCAATTGGCTTAAGAAGCATGCAGCAACAATAAAATGCGAAAGAGAGTGTGTGTGTGAAGGAGTGCGAGCGTGTGTGAGGGACTGCTGAATACGCGACGTCACGAATCAGCTGTGCGGCAGGTAAAACACCAAGGAAGAAGGGTGAGAGTGAGAGAGCAGAGGGACCGAACGAGAAAGAGAGCAGAGTCAGCGACTGCGACTGCGACGCCAGGCAAACCTTAAGATCAGAGGGCCACACGGCCACATTCGCTGCCCAGAACTCGACCCGAACAGAACACATCTCGACCAAGGCGCGCCTCCATGAGAAACTCTCGCGAAGAATTCGACAAGAACATGGGAAAAGCGTTCAACTAGAAAACCAAATACATTTTTTTTTGGCAAAATTGTGATACAAAAGTGATGCAAAATTGAGTGATAAAAAACCAAGAAAATCTCAATTCAAACGCTGCCAAAAGTAACAACAAAACGGAACGAACGGTGGTGGTGAACAGCTGTTGTACGCTCTCACTCTATTCCGTAAAACGTGCTCTCGCTCTCTTTCGAGTAATTCAGCAAACGCGCTCACAGTCCCACTGCATTCAGCACGCCGCACGGTTCGTCATAGTGGCATGCTTAATCAGAATCACTATGCTCGGGCTGGCCAACGCGTTCGGACGCAATTTCTCTAGAAACTGAAAACTGAAAGCCGAAACGGAAACGGGAACGGGAACCAGAGAAAGAACTGTAAGCCAGCCAACAGCCAAGCAGTACACTGAGCGCGACAAAAGACTGAAAAGCAAAAACAAATAAAAGCCGCAGCTAAAAATAGTAAAAACTCTAAGCGCTGCATTTAAACAAAAAACTAAACCAAGACTGATTAAAACGCTAAATATACAACAAAATACAATAAACGAAACAAAGTTAAACAAAGTAAAAGTAAAATACGATACGAATACGGGTTCTAATAGAAAGCAGCAACAATTCCGAACGGAATAAGCTGCAAATGGATTAAGGTTCCTCCTCTCACACACACACACACTCAAAAAACACACACTCAACACACACTCACGGATTACCTGCAGCCACAACAACCGTTAGCCGCGCGCTCTCTTTTTTGGATTACCAGTGCCAATACAAAAGAATAAGAAAAGCAAAACCAAAACCAAAAGCAAAAGCAAAAGAAGAAAGAAATCTAATAAAAGAAAGGAAGAAAAAAATGTGTCTTGAATTTTTTTCACAAGTGAAAAGCAAGCAAAACGAATAATCACAAAAATGCAATAAAAGCAAAGAATAAAACTAAAATTATAACTGTGTTAACGAAGGAGAAGCAGCAGCAGCAGTCGCAGAAGGAGTAGATGTAGAAGAGAGTAGCAGCAAAAGCACACACTCTCTTGCACACACTCTCTCCCCCTCACACACAACAATGACGATGGCCGCCTGTTATGCCAGCTATGACATGTCGTCCCTTTCCCACGGCATGTCCGCTGCCGCCTTGAATGCCCTGCAACAGCAGCAGCAGCAGCAGCAACAACAACAGCAGCACAGTCAGGCTCAGCAGCAGCATCACCAAGCGCAGCAGCAGCAGCAGCAACAGCAACACATGTACCATGCCGCCGTGGCAGCGCATCAGCAACAGTTGCTCCAACAGCAGCAGCAGCAGCATCACCGCCAGCAACAGCAGCAGCAGCAGCAGCAACATTCTCATCAGCCCGCCTCCAACACCCGCCACAGCCATGCGGCGGCGGCCCAAACTCAGGTCGCCGCCGCCGCCGTCGCCACCTCACGCCAACAGCAGCAGCAGCAGCAGCAGAATGTCTCTGCCAGCAGCAACGCCAACAGCAGCAGCAATGCCAACAGCAGCGGTGCTACGGCAGCGGCAGCGTCCCCTCAAAAGGACTACAGCATTCCACTGCACGTCGACTGCAGCGTCGAGTACGAGCTCCCCAACCAGCCGAAGCCACCCGCCGGACAGCGCGTGGAGCCGCTGCTGATGATCCATCCCTGCTACTTCCGCAAAATGGAGTCGCAGCGGCGCAGTCCCTTCGTGAACAACATGCAGGCGACGGCCCGCACGGCCAACAACAGTGCAGTCAGCAGTGGAGCGGCGCTTGGCGGGGGAGGAGGAGCGGCCGCCACGGCACCCAGCAGCAGTGCAGCGCGACGCGGAGCCAGGCAGAGTGCGCAGCAGCAACAGCAGCAGCAACAACAGCAGCAGCAACAGCAGCAGCAACAACAGCAGCAGCATCATCAAGCGCAGCAGCAACAACAACAGCAGCAGAGGCAGGTGTACCAGCAGCAGCAGCAACAGTTGCGTCAGCAGCACCAACAAATGTCGCAGATGTCGCAGCAGGCGCACTATCCCGTGCAGCAGCAGCAACAGCAGCAGGAGCATGTCCGTCGCCAACAGCAGCAGCAGCAGCACCAGCATCAAGCGCAGCAGCAGCATCAGGCGCAGCAGCAGCGAAGCAGCAGCAACCAAAGTCGTCAAAACCAAAGTCAAAGCCACTCCGCAGCAGCAGCGGCAGCAGCCGCAGCCAGCTCCGCGTCGATAGCCGCCGCCGCGGCGGGCCAGTGGGATCAGCTGGCAGCGGCACTAGCCGCTCGCACTGCCATGACGCCGCACCATATGCTGGCACCCCCGCCCCACCAGACCCTGTACGCGGCCAAGGGGAGCAACGGCTCTGCGGGAGGAGCCAGCGGCGCCTCTGGGAAGAGGGATGCCATGATTTCCGGTTCGAACTACGGCCAGACGGCGCCCTCCGTCGGTGGCAGCTCGAAGCACCATCAGCAGCAGCAGCACTGCCTGCCCCCGCCGCCCTGGGACGCCACAGCAGTGGGTGGGGCGGCGCCCGCGCAGAGCATGGCCATGCTGATGGACCGCTCGCCGATGGCCACAGTTCCTAGCAATTATCAGGCCGGCCCTGACACCACGCCCATGCAGCGGCTGTACGGCGCCACCGTGACGCCCACATCTGCAGCGGGAGCGGGTCCGGGGGCGGGCGCGTGTCCGGGAACGACTGGAGGCGCCACCTCTGCCACGGACAAGCTGAGCGGCAAGTACCGGCAGTACCTGCGCTCGCAGCGGATGCACCCCTATGCGGCGGCGGCCTCCCTCAACCTGGCCGCTGCCGCCGTGGCCGCCGGGAGCCTGGGGCAGACCTCGTTTGTGCCATTCGGTGCGGCCGCGGCGGCGACGCCCACATTCCAGCATCTGCAGCAGCAGATATCCTGCTACAATGTGTGATCCCCCTCCCAGGAGCAGCGCGGAGGCAGAAGAAGCAGCAACCAACTGAGACAGGCGCTTACCAAGTAAACGTCGATGAAAATAGCCGCCTCAAGGAATAGCCAATAGGAAAACAAACCCCCTTTATATAGGCCATCTCTTCTATCCCTCAAACCCTAAAGCCCCATACAACCCTATACAACCCTGTAATCCCCTCCTCATACAGCCCCCAAAAGCTTTTAGACTCAAAAAATAAGAAAAAACAAACAAAAAAATTAAAGCTAAATTCTGTTTAGAGCTGTTCCCAAAAGAAAAATGAAGAATGAATGAAGAAGATTGTCCTCAGAAGAAGAAAATGAAGAAGATGCAGAAGAAGGAGAAGGAAAAGATACGGATGAAAAGTGTTTTTTGTTTCTTTTTCTAGTAATTGTAGTAATTGATAAACAAAAGGAAAAACAAACAACAAAAAAATGCAAACTATTGTAGTGATATTTGTTATAAAATAATTTTAGTATCTAATTTAATTTAAATTAAAAAAAAGAAAAGAAAACATGAAAAACCAACAAAAAGCCAAGGCGATAAAAACCTAAAAACCAACAAACATTCAAATCAACCAACAATAAAAATGGAAAAGTCAACAAACAAATGCTAAAAATTACATAATTATATGCATATTTAATTAAACGAAAAACGACAAATGTTATAGCAGAAAAACAATTTATGGAAAATGCCACAATTATTACCAAAAGAATGAGAATGAGATGAGAGAAAGACGAGGAGAGAGGAGGATGATTGAAAGAGTTCGGATGGTGAATTAAGAGAAGGAAACAACACAAAAAATATGAATAAAAATTATTCAAAATTATGCAACGTAATTTGAAGCGCAAATATGCAAAAAAAATTAAGTAAAATTGTGTTTTCAATTGGTAGAATGTGTACAAAGAGCAAAACAGATGGTTAGAGTGATTAAGAAAGAGCATAAGAGATGGTTAGAGTGATTTGGCTAAGGCATAAGTGAAAACAGAGTCAAACGGTGAGAGTATTTCCAGTGCTGTGCAACTTGCATACACCCTGACGATCAGCTGTTTCTGTATAAGAGGGGTGTGGTTCAGCTTTTGCCGTGTTTTGAGTATCCCAAATGTACAGACCTGTCTTTGAATAAAATCCCCAGATAGTCGCTGTATATACTTTGGTTTTCCTTTCTCTATAGAAAGAATAAATATCCCTTTTCCGCAATACATTTCGTTCAAAACTAGGAAGGCAGAAAGACAGTGAGAGGATTTACCGTGACTTTTAGCAGTTTCCACTTTTTCAGTTCATTTCCCATAAGAGCGCGAGGAAGACAGACAGTAAGAGGCTAGGGACTTCGACTGCTGCCATCCTCTTCTACCGTACACTTAATTGCCGTCGGCTTTTGTGGCTCAATTTTCACACTTGCACTCCCCTTCCACCGCCTTTTTTTTAGGGTGGCTGTTCTCCCCTTGTCTTTCACTTAATTTGATTTTCAGCTTTGCTTTGGTTCGCTCTTTCTCTTTTCATTTTTCGGCGTGGCTCTGTGATTGATTATTGTCATTGATGGAAGACCTTTGAACAACAGAAAGAGGAAGGGAGAGGGTGAGGGAGAGTGAGAGGGTGATGGAGTCTCATTCCAACGGCATTCTTCATTTGTCTCCTCTGCTCTCTTTTGCTGATTATGCCATCGCACAGTGGGCCCCGGGCCCCATTCTAAAGGAAAAACTAATGCCCAGAGGCAAAAGTTTTTTGCTGGTGGGGCGACAGGAAATGTGCGAGATGTTATCAGGCCTTGGGCGTAGGTCCCCGCGGGGATTATTGATTAAAGGCTGAAAAACGATTTGTGTTTGTTTCTCTCAGAGAAAAGCAGTTCCGGGAAGTACATAATCGCTTAATTTATTCATAGGAAAGCGAAACGAACGAAACGAAACCCTCGTGAGGATTTCCAGCCAGCAATCAGCAAATTAATTTAAAGAGTGTTTTATTTTTTTTGGGGGAACGAAAAATAAACGACATCCGTTTCCCATTGAACGAACGAAACGATACGACCCGGCCGCAGACTGACTCATCCCACTGTGGCCTGCCCTAGATCTCCAAAACGAGTCCAAGTCCATTCCGCAGAGAGATAGTGAGAGAGACTAAAGCAGGAACTGGCCCCGTCTGCCCCTGTCGCACTCGCAGTCGCAGTCGCAGTCGCCGTCACAGCCGAACTCTCTTAAGCGTAGAAAGCAGCGCCAGATTTCCTGAATGGTGCCGTCCCACTCGTATGCTGATTGCCATCTCTATTCATTTATTCAATTCATATTAAATTGCTTCACAGATAAGAAGAATTTCCACTGAACGTAATTAAAATATACTACAGATCGTCTGCTTTGCTGTCGTTTGTCGTATGTCATGCTAGAGGGTATCGCGAAGCATTTTCGAATTCGTTGGAATCAACAGCCATGACCGCCTCTGTCATAGCTGAAAGTTTATAGTTTCGTGAAATTGTATTTCAACAGAATCATTCATTGGATCATATATTCCCATAGGACGATTGTAGAAACACAAGTCTTTGTGGTAAATCTTTCAATAGATTCTCGAAGATCTTTTTCCAAGGGTATTTCCATCTTCGTTTTCCCAAAATTAAGCCTTCATCTCTTGTTTTCATTTACTTCCATCATCATCTGTTGCTGATGCTGTGGCTGCTGCTGCCTCCCTCCCTCCGTATACAATCGTTTGCATGCGATTGAGCGATTGATTGAGTGAGTGAATGTGCCCCCGTCCCCACACTCAATTGCGAGGTCATCGCCCATTGTCGTCATTCCCGGCTCGCTCTCCCGTCTCCCGTCACCCGGCTCTTCCCCTGGCCGACGGACTGTCAGGTGGTGCTCGTCTGGATTGTGTGGCATTAGTGAGCTAAATTGAGGCTGCACTTTGGCTGGGATTTGATTATGATTATGGCTACGGCTATGGTTCCCAGTGCCATGTGTGGGCATCCAATGATAATGACCAGACACCCGGGTCGGAACCCTCGAGTGTTGTGCTTGAACTCGAGTGCTTTTGCTTTTTATTTGCCCAAATGGGAATGTGTGCTTAGGAATCTCTAAGAAAGGAACGCAAGAGAGAGAGAGAGAGGTTTGTGGGATTAAGATGGGTTTGATAGGAATGAGTGGCTAATATAGTGAAGGCTCTGAATAAAAATAGGAACTTCATTCAATGAATTCCATTTCTTTTTGTACCCTGAAAATCCAGAGATTCTACTCTATGAACGACCTCCGTTCTAAGTTGCCTCCCCCCTTTGGCGTTACCGGACAGGGGCGATAGTACGTCGTCCATAGGTCAACTAAAAGGTTTTCTTCTCTAATTGAGTTTATTTAGACGTATTTCTTTGTTTTTTATTTGGCAGAGCAGCTGCCATTTAAAAGTCATCAACGGATAAATAAACCCAATAATGGAACCAAGCAAAAGCAAACAGAAAGCAAAGTAAAACACAGAAAAAACATGCAAATAAAAGGCATAAAAATACAGAAATACCGAAAGAAACAACAAAATGCTTGCCCAAAAGCTTGCACTGAAAGAGTCAGAGTGAGAGTGTGAGAGAGAAGGTGTAAGAGGGAGAGCGCTTACAGTTAGTTTATTTTTAAACACGAGAATGCACACGCACACACACACACACAACCACACACACTCGAAAATAACGAAAATTGCTCAAAATGAAATGACGCAAAAGCGCATTAAACAAAGTCCAGCAAAAAAGAAGTCGAAGAATAAAGAGAGCAAAAAACGTAACACAAAACAAAGTGGAAACGGCCCCAAGACAGAAAATACAGAAAAAAAAAACTAAAGAGAAGCCGCGACATCGGAAGCTGTCTAACCCAAACATTGTCTGTGTGTGTGGGTCGATGGGGGCGTACCGGGGGAGTTAAGTGGCAGCCACCAAAGCTCTGTTCGTGCGAGGGATTGGGTGGAGGAGCAGTGGCAGAGGGGCAACAGTTGAGGACACTCGCATTGAGGCTGGTCATAAAGTTGATATTTACGAGTCAGCGGAGAATGAAGAGTGGGGCGGGGAGGGGAGAGACCCCACGACTACCAGACGGAGAGCCAGACTCGGAAACAGACGTGGACTCAAGACTGGGAGGGAGTGGGAAAGGAGAACCACCGGCAGAGATTCAGAAAGTGTGGAGCGTGAGAGCGAGGGAGCGGAGCGAGGGGGAAACTCCAGCGCCGACTCGAAAGAGGTGGGAAGAGAAAGAGAGAGGCACACACCGACCTAGGCAACCGGTTTGCTGGTTATCTTTGTTGCTTTTCAATGCCCTGCCAGAAAGCTTAACAGACGTTTGCATCTAAGAGTCCATAATAACCCATATTTTGAAATATGGAAAAAGAAATCTCAAGAAAAGTTACTTTCCAAGCCACATTTGATCCAAATCTGATGACTACATCTTATGCCAGTAGCTATGATATAAACTATAGACTTGAAAGAGTATCAAATGCTTCGCCTTTCAAACGCCAGCCTTTCTTTCTTGTTTAACATTTTTCTCTCCTCTTTCCTCACGTCTTACTTTTTTTTTTTCTTTTTTGGGTCAACTTCAATCTGCGACTACATAATTTCTGACATAATTAAAACATTTTTATGGCGAAAAAAAATGAATTTAAATATTTTCTAGGCCTTTGGTAATTGCTGTGCCCCCCAACCGAAACCCCTCTAAAAGTCATAAATTAAGTGCGCATAAAGGTTAATAAATATTTATGCCAGAAATAGAGACAGAGATGGAAGAGACGCGACAGTTTTTAATAAGCTTTAATTAAAAAATATAGCAGATTGGATAAAGGCGATAACAGATACAGATACAGATATATATGTACGTATATTAAATATTGTCAGGCGGTAGCTGTAACTAATTAGCATAATTCATATGCATGAATAACCAGGCACACTCGGAGAAAGAGGCAAAGCGATGGATTGCATGTCCACGGAAAGAGACGGACAGCCAGTCGGTGGGGGTGAGGTGTATATGTATGTATGTAAATACCTAGCATGTCTAGCGATTTAAAAAGCGGCTTTAAATAAATTACAAATATAAATTATTAATTAAAAAGGCAA